GAGTAGAGGCACTACACAAGCAGGTTGCAGACCCTCCACCAGAAAAGTTACACAGTGTACCTTGAGATCGTCAATCATGATTATAATACCCTCTGAACCCAAAAATTAATTATTTGTTTGTATTTAAAAAATAAATTAATTAATAAATAGACTTAAATAGGGCAGTTATTCAAAATGAACAAGCTGTTACAACAAATATGAGCACATTTACAAAATTAAAATTGAAAAAGAAGTGAAATAAAAGTGCTAATGAAGCATCTGGCTGAAGTCGAGTCTGTTTACTGGAATGGAGAAAAATGTTTACCAAATTTCATTTAACAAGGGTGAGTATCTTTCCAGATTTGCAGTTGTGTTAATATTTAGTGCTTATGAAATTAAGCAGAGACAAGGCCATCTGAATGTATTAAGAAAAATGAGCTAATTGGTATGATATTTTACTTAGTTTGTGCTTTTATTTGTTTACTTGTCCCCATAAATTTTACACAGTTTCCAATGCAACACTTTAGTGACTGAAAATCAACTTCATTCATTCATCTAAATTCAAAAGTGTTACAAAAATAATAACATAAAAAAAAAAAAAAAACAAGAGATGGCAGTGTCATTCTCATATCACCCCCTTCCATACAAACTAAACATCATTAACTTTAACTGCATTTGAATTGTCAATGCTATAGTGGTGTGAAATAAATAGAAAGAAGAAAGAGTAGGAATTTGAATATTATACATTTACAAGGTAGAAGTTTGACCTTTGAAACCCAGATATAATTGTGTGCTTGTTTCTCGGCATAAACAGGTGCAGTACACGTTGTAAAAGTAGAGTTAGTGTAAGGCATTTTTGTAATGCTGGAATCCCCTTGAGCCAAACCTTCAAACACGATCCTAATCAATAACAACTTCAGGATGCACAACGTAACCTTTCTGGTGGACGATCTGCAAGCTTGTCTCCATGGAGATGATGGATACCTATAATGTTCCACAATATGGCATAAAATTGTCTTTATTAAATTACAGAAGTTTTTTTTTTTTTTTTTTTTTTTTTTTTTTTTAGGTTTATTTCTTTCTTTTGCTTTATTCTGTGAATGGGGTCATTTCTCCACAGATGTGATCTGTAGGATGGCCTGTGTCAACTCCTTCCATGGAGATGAATTTAATGTCATACTGTGGAACATTATAGGCAAAGTAATAAGATCTCCACGGAGACCTGCAGGTAGTGTCCTTTGATATTGCTACTTCAAAATCTTTTTACTCAGACCCTGTACTAAAATAAATGCTACTCTACAGTACAAAACCTATAAAAAAAATATTGAAATAGCAAAACTTTCAAATACAAAAACCCATTTTTTTATTCTAATATTCAAATAATACAAAAACAAAAATATCTGAACAGAATCTTGCTAATTGTCAATCTAAAATACCAAAAAATATACTTCAATACTGACCAAAAAATGCTGTTATCATAATTTAGAGAAGTATTACTGCTGTTTAAATAAAGTTTTCTACATTAATCATTCAGTTTTGGCCAATCTTTTGGCACGCAGCCCTCAGCAAACCTCTCCCAAAACACTTTTCACTGTTTTTAATCTTAAATTGCTGCATTTCGTCCAATGAGGCACTTGGGAAGTTTGCGAGCTCTATCCAGACAAACAGGAGATGATCAGAGGCAGTGTTCAATGCCAGAGCTACAAAAACACAGATAGGTGGATACCCCTCAGCGGGACAGGAAGCGTGTTATGTAATTACCCCTGCGGACCCACGGGGTATTTGAGCGCAGCCGGAGCATGACTCGGCAAATTGACTGTGCTGATTGGATATTCATCGTGCGTGCAGAGATAGGGCCAACCCAGACACCAGGGCTCAAGATCTGATTTAGCGCATTCATACCTCAGACATAATAACAGATTTACACCCTAATTTAATGTATAAAAAATAATTGCATTGGGTTGAAGTTAGAGTCGAATCAGTATAACTTCTCTGGAGGAGAATCTGACATCTGCTTTCTGCATACAATTGTTACACAGCATGGTTCAGCACTGATCTACCTATAGAGGCAAGTAGGTGATGTCACAAGGCCAAGTTACAGGTTAGATCTGTGAAGAAGTGACTCACGCAGTAAAAATGCATGTTTATTAAGGTGCACTAGTAATTAAAAGCAAGATTAAAGGCAAGATTGATTATTTAAAGCGTCTGATTTTAAGACATGAGTCATTTCTGACACTGATATTGCATCTTGAAACATAAACAACTCTATGGGATTATTTTCACATGATTCTTAGTAACAATGTGATTTAATGGATGAAAGAATGTGACACTGTCAGTAGCTTCATTAGTTATTGCCTGAGAAAATGTAAAATGAATCGATTATATTTTGCTCAATCTGTTTAGTAACTTTTACCATATATTGGATCATGTAATGAGCATTTATCTTAATAAAAATGAATTGTAATCAGGTACAAGCTGTTTAAGTCATACTGTGAAACATTCCTAGCAAATAATTAGCAGATATGTGACGCATTCCCCTCTAGAAAGTCTATATCTAAAAGAATATTTCCCCTTTGGCTTACCAGGCAGATGAGAGATCAATCTGGCAAGCAATTATAAAACCTCACTGTTTAAAAAAACTGTCCTTGAATAGTGTGTTTGCATATTGATATTTTAGTTATAGCAGTAGTATAGTAGTAGTATAATAGTAAAGTAAAATCATTGTCAAAATAGAGTAAAAGTAATAAGAAAGAGGAAGTTATGTCCCATTTTTTTTGCTCAAATGTGGACCTCCTAGAAAGTTTTCAAGAATCCTAACCCTCCTGTCAAACGCAGTGCGAGCAGAACCCACACAAGGTCCTGGGAGATTTCTCACATCCAGAGCAGTTTTTGGCCTGCTCATTAGCGCCTCCTGTGTGCGCTCCCCTGACACTGCACGGTGGTCCCTGCACTCCTGTCAGTCCCAGGGATCACCTTGTCTCACTGCTTGTGTGACGAGACCTTTCCTGTGTCCTCCAGCACACTGAAGCATTCAATTTATTCATGGGAAAAGGGGAAATCTCAGAGTGGGCTTGTTTCAGATGGGACGGACACACAATGGGAGTAGGAGGGGGAGGGCGAGGTGCCAGCGTGATGGATGAGGAGAGGAGTTAGGAGAGGAAGAAGAGAAGCAGGAAGTTTAGAGGAGTTTACAGACACTGGCTTTATAAATAATGACCTGTGGGCTGCACTGTGGGTCTGTATGTGAAAGTTACTCAGGCTGAAAAATGGTTAATTTTGAAACATTGTTGTGTATGTTTAAGTAATGAGTTACAGGCTAAGGGAGAGCACTCATCCCCAGTATTAATGTAGCATCTAATGATAGTATTCATTCAAGGCGCACTAACTTTTCTAGTGGGAGTACATCACCTACTGGTCTCCATGGAGATGTTGTTGCTTTGTCTGGAATGTTCCACAGTATGGTGTTAAACTTAAACTATCTTGCTAAAAGAAATGCCCTGAAGAATATGCCCTCTTACTGTGATCACTTGTAATTCACTTGTAATCTGGCATGGTGGCGTCATTTGCTTGTCTCCATGGGCAGGAAAAAAAAAATAGTTCACTCAGTTTAATGCCATACTGAGGAATATTCCAGGTAAAATAGTAAAATACAAGCATGTGGCGGACCCCCCATAGAGTGTCTTTAAATACTTAATTTTCTCCTATTTTGTTTTGGTTTTGATGTGCTGATTTGGAAGAGGTTTTAGACCAGATGTTCTTCCTGATACAACAACTCTCTCAATTAGTCAGGCTTCTGTCACACTCCACCTGGCTCCTTTTGATTAATTACATATTTGTTTACTAGTGATTTATTATTCAAAAGTGTTACAAATAAATATATTTTTAAATAAAGTTCATAACAAACACAAGTTTGTCACACTTTATTTTCTATGTGGCAACCTGTACTTATGCTATTACATGTGATGGTGCATTACACTGTGCTTACGTTCCTTCAAGTAGTTTTATTTCATCCATGCATGTTTGAGTAAATATAGTTAGCATTATGACTCTGTCCAAGAGTCCACAAGCCTACATCACCCATGCTCCCACACTGCAATTTTACATAAACATATAAAAAGCATGATGCACAACAGTATACTAGAACTTCACAAACCTGATGCAATATGTAGTAGTTTCATTTAGCAAAATTCTAAAAAATAAAATGTAACATGATGATCTAGACATGTTATGTGTTAACAATTAAATACCCCAATGAAGTGTAAAACCCCCTCCTTAAGGTGGGGTTAGAGGATTTGGAATACATTACTTCTTGTTACATTAAAGGTCCAATATTATAAAACATTTAAGTCATGTTATGTTGTTACTTCACCACAAACATACCTGGAGTTGTGTCTTGTTTCATTCACTCATGTTTGAACTCTTAATTATTGTCTGTCTGTATCTCCAAAGCTCACACTGCCCTGTTCCACCTTATGATGTCATGAAGTGGTAGTTTTCAAGTTAACAGCCACATTTTACCTTTTATTTCAGTAGAGATTGGTGATTCCATGGATGAAATTATCAAAATTATTCTAGTGAAGGGGTGTGGAGTTTAAAAGCACTGTGGAGCACTTCCTGTATTACCACATGACATCACAAGGTGGAACGTGTGTTTTCTGTTTGAGAGAAGAACTCAGGAGGAAATATGCAGGGTTTGTGTGAATGAAACAAAACACAACTCCAGGTATGTTTTTAAGGAGGAAACAGCATTATAACATGGATCAGAATATATGTGCAGTATGGACCCTTTAATACTTGTTGTTACATAGTGTTACATAAGGTTTCTGGCTCAATGTTGCCATGGTGAATTATATAAAACCACCTTCATAAAATCCCACCAAAAGTGACTGCTGAGACACCTGGCTGCTTCACTTCTGATTACAGCCTGTTTCTTCCTTGTGCGTATTTATGTTTGGCTCTCCTCTGGGCTTCATTACTGACTGAACTGAACTGGCCTAATATGATAATCAGAGTGTGTATGCCTGTACCTTGGTAACTGTAGAGATCTCCCACGCTGTTTTGACGCGTGATGTGCTGCCAGTACGCGCTCCGAGGTAGAGAGATGGACTTGGTGAGTATCTCTCTGGAGTGGATCTAAAGCAGACACAGAAGAGATGCTCAGTCTAACACATATTGTGAGTCATTCATTCACAGCTCGATGTAATACCAGTGCAACACGCTTATGGTTAGGAGCTTATGTTATGGAGGGAAGAATGGACCGAATGAAAGGAAGAAAGAAACTAAGAAAAGCAAAGGGAAATGTGCAAAAATATGTACGATATTGTCATTGTGAGTAATTCATTCTCAAATCTATGGGTGCATTCACACTTTTAGTCCTGTATTTTATTTTATTATTATTTTTTTGTTTTGTTTTTGTTTTGTTTTGTAGATTTGTGTAATGGACTTTGGTTTGATCGAGTTTTCGTGCTGGTTCTGAGTTTAGTCCTGTTTTTAATGTGATATTTGTAGTTTGAATGGAACCTATAACACCAGTGAACAACACACTTAGAATCTTCTGTCATGATAGTAAGACTGAAGGGGAGTTATGCCAAAAAATAAGGAAAAATGTCAAAATGAAATAAGGAAGGATGAAATAAGGAAAGAAGTCTAGCACGTTGTCACAGTGAGTCATTCATTCAAAAATAACTCGTGAAATACACACTTAGGATTTGATGTTATGGAAGAAAGAATAGAGGAGAGAGCAGGAAAGGAAGACCGAAAGATGGAAATAAAGAAAGGAAGCCGGGAAGAAGATATGAAAAGAAATAAGAAAGTCTAGCGTATTGTCACTGGCAGTTACATGTGCACTCTAAATCCGATTTTATCAGATTTTTTGGAGTTATAAGATGCTTAAAATACTGCAAGAGGTTCAGAAAGTAGATACTTAAAAGTTCAGAAACCAGATAATCAGATTTTGGTGTGCGTGCGAACATAGCCAGTGTGAGTCATCAACAGCTCTATAATACCAATGAAGAACACGGTTAGAACAGTTTGTTATGAAAAGTAGAGCGGAGGGAAGGGAATGAAGAAAAAAATAAAGATGGAACAATGAAATTAAATTAATGAAGTGTACTACATTATTATTATAAGTCACTCATTCATAACAGTATAAACCTCTCTCTCTTTTTTTAAAACCAGGGAATAGTAGATTTAGGACCTGAAATTTCAAATCGGCTGCGTGATTTAACAGGGAATAATATGAAATACAATTAAACCAAATGCTGAGATGGAAAAAGCCTGTGATAATGGCATGCTGCATTTCCCACACATCTGTTTTTTGACATGGTTGGTTTGATGTACGTAGGTGTTTATGTGATTTATGGAGCTGAAGGTAAATAATGCACTTGGAGTGACGCCAAAATAGAGAGGTCCAGGAGTAGAGCCATATGGACAGGGCTCATCAAACACAAGGCGGGACCACATAAATAAGTAATACAAATGATCGAAGGAAAGAGAGGGAGGTTACTTCACAAAGAATATCAATGAGAGGAGGTAGGGAGGTGTAAGTGGACCAACTGTTGAAACTTATAGTATTAGACTTTAACAAGGACAATATTGGGTCAGATGGTTGAGTAGTTGGCTCATAAATGGAAGGTTGTGCTGTGTAAATCAAATGTAATGCTTTGGTCCTGGTTTGAGCCCATTCTAGTCCTGATGTAGACTTGGTTTGGTTATGTTCCAGTCCTGGTTTAGACCCATCTGGTCCACTTTGATGCAGTGTGCGTGCAATTGTGAACTACAGACTATAATATATATATATATAAAGAAGTGGACTAAGGGAATGTGATGTCACCCATAGCGTTCAGCTCCAGTCAAATGAAGCTCAAGAGGTCTGCAGTTATAGGGGCGAATTTGGAGCAGGGTTCCATATTAGGAAAGGGAATTTATTAACAGACAAAATAGCAAAATAAAAACTCCAGGATCAGGTAGAGTGGGTTAATATGGGCATTTTAAGACCAAAATGATGAAACTCACAGCAGCAGTTACAGAGAAAAGGTGACATTTTTTCAATGTAAAGTCAATTGGAGCCAGCATCGATGAAGCCAGAAGCACGTCCTTGCTCACTTCCTATCTGGAAAGTGGTGGCTAGCGAGTTAGATATGTCCATTTATATATACAGTCTATGGTGTGAATGCAACCCCACTCCAACTAATTTAACTAATTTTGTTTATTTTAGTCAACAAATAATTTTATTGGGATTATAGGGTTTTAAAATGGCCCACAGCAGAAAGGATGAGGCATGGATTAAGTAAACTGGAGTTTTAGGAGTGACTGGACAGTTGAATTTGCCTTTTCACTTATGAAGATGCTGTTTACTTGTACTTCTCTAATAATTTTAAGAGCTTTTGCCAGTGCCATGCCACGTCCCCAGGCCAAGAAAGCAAGAAATGAAGGAAAGAGCCAAGTATAAGGTGTGAGGCGGGGGCTCGACCAGGTCCAAGGCAAAATTACTCATGAGAGAGTCGAGCTGTGCGGCCTGGGGGAGAAGTGTGTTTTTGAGCGTGTGAACAGTCAAGGTCTTGTGTGTGAAAAAAAGATGATGTATTACCACAAAGATTAGTTTCTAAAAATATACTGAGAATTACATTGCCTATCTTTAATGAGAAAACACACGATTCAAAAGCAATTAGTGTTTTGGTCCTTTAAGGAAGTCCATAATTCAAATGTTTAATCTTCAGTAATTATCCTTAATGAATAATCAATGTAGAAATATATCCAGGTTTAAAAGAAAGGAAGTCATGAATCACATTTTACTGTTTGCTCCTTTTTTAACTAAAGAAAATGGAAACTTTTGAACAAGCTTAACCCATTGCTCTTGGATATTATCACTTCCTGTATTACCACATGATCTTACAAAGTGGAACAGTGTTTTCAGTTTGAGAGAAGAAATCAGACTAAATATGTAGAGTTTGTGAGTTAAACGTGTGTGAATTAAACAAGATACAATTCCAGTACGTTTTTGATGAAGAAACATTATAACATAGATTAGAAAATGGCATAATATGGGCATTTTAACTCATTTTATCTGAATATCTTCTCTTGACCTTGGTAACTGCTAAATGTAAAAACTGCCTATATACTCATGTTTATGTATTTATTTATAGTGTGTTTAATGAGTTATATAGCAATTAGATTTATAATTTCTGTTTGCAAATGTTAACATTAACATTTGAGAGCAAACTGAAATTCATAACATGTTTGAATAAGTCTTAACTACAGCTTTAGCAGTTTTATCCACAACAAAACCTCATGGAGATATTTAGTTTTTTGTACAGGATGTTATATTTCCGAATGGTTGCTAATAGTCTCCATTCAAATCACAATTTTAGATATTTTTGCAGCCTTATGTACAAGTCCCCCTATTGGCCTACAAACATATTTTAAGGAGTATCAGAAATTGATAGTTTTTAAATAATTACTTCCTGTAGCATTGTTTTGTTGGGCCTGACTCCAGTGTTTGTTTGCACCACAGTGGTGAGCTGTGAGCTGCAGTTGACAGAGCACCACACACATAAGTGGGCTGTGTACCTGGGAGCTCTTCTCCAGCTCCTCCATCATGCGCTCGTGCTGCTGGGCGATGGCCAGTGTGGCAGAGTGGACCCTTTGGTAGATCATCTCTCCCTCCCGTGTCTGGAACGTGAATAGCCCCTCTCCAGTATCGCACATCCTGGGACAAGCATGGACACATAGATGGGGGAAGCATAGTCTTTTCTAAGTTGTCCTTAATTTAAACATTATGAAAGAAAGGCATACAATTTAAATGCACACTATTGTCTCATGGAATGTTTTTATATGAGCCTAACTTCTCAAAACCTGACCTCAATAAGACATGAAAAAGTAAAAGATCAACTTACTCTGAATATGCATGACTGTTCCTGTCTGACTTAAAGCTACCATCTGTACGTTTATTCGATTTTTGTTACGAGTAGATGTTTTTTGTTACCTGGCTTTTATTCAGGCTCACTTGTGCTCTCTGGTCTTCTTCTGTCATGCTAAAGCTAGCACACAACCATACAGAAGTAACGTAGATACCATCTAGTGGTGGTATGTGAGAATACAACAGGGTCAGTTCAGCCAATCTAATCCCAAATGGTGGCTATAGTAATAATGCATTTGTCTTATACAGCACTTTTTCTGACACCAAATGTTGCTTTAAATAAGTCAAAAGACACTAAATTTTAAAGCCCATATTATTATTTTTTATTAAGTACAACTGACTATATTATCCACTGCACAGTTGTCCCTTGAAGAATAACAGAGAACATGTATGAGTCAAGCTAACAACATGAATAATTATCTGAATGTCTCTGCTCACTCTCTCCCCTTTTTGACTAATCAAACCAGTGCCTAAAAATTCTTAAATAAGAACACATTTTGGCTTGAAGGACTAAAATTACTATATTCATCTACCAGGGTCATTGTAACGCCTGAGTGACAAAGTTATGTGCACATTGGTCTAACTGACGATCTCTGAGCCCCTCTAAAAACAGCTATTCACTTGGTAATAAGTGAGTACTGAGAAATATTTCTGACACGTACCTTCCTGACTCAAAGGTGAACCAGGTGGAGTCGCGCCCGTATCGTCGTAGTGAACTGAGCGGCCACATGACGAGCTTTAGCCGTGGGTTGTGAATGTCCCACAGGTAGATGTTCTCATGGGTGATCTGCATGGTGCACTCGCCGTAGATATCCAGGTTGGGAGTCGGCATTAAGTAAACATTGAAGCGTTCTGGGAAGAGTCACAACAGCAGCTTGTTAAAAACTCGGATAACAGCAGAACAAAATGCCAAAACAGGAAACTGTGGATTTGCTTTGCTTGTCACGTCTTAGCAATGGCAGTAAAGAAGGGATGGGTTCATTTAAAAACAACACTTCTTCTCATTTACATTCAGTGGTAAATAGAGCACACAGTTTAGGGCAGAGAAGCGCTCTTTTGCAGACTCCTTTGTCAGGACTGAGGGGTAAACAGATTTCAGAATTGCTGTGCTCATCACATTGGGGGTATATCTTTTAAACTGTCTACTTCCTTTTTCTAAGTTCTCTAAAAACTCAGTGCAAAATGTGATCTCTAAACGGTTGAATTGCCAATTCATTAAAGCATACTTGTGCAATTTTACTCAGTAAATTTCCAGCTTAAACTTTTGTCTCTGCTACAAAGTCAAGTGAAGCCAAACTATTTTCAAAACAAATTTACCTAAAATCCAACTAACAAGATATCCAGGAAGTGAGCTGGCATCAATTTAAACTAGCCCTTTCACATTAAAGGTGCATTGTGTAATTTTCTGGTGGAGAGTCAAATGCTTTTCTCCATGGAGATGTTATTCTTTTGTCTGTTTCAGAGTATGATATTAAACCTTTCTACCTTCATGGAAACCAAACCAGACCAAGGTACAGCTGGATCTGTGGAGAGGCGACCCCACTCACAGTCAGAATGCCTGTTTTTCTAGGTATTTTTGAGCTATAAAACCACCTGTAATTAAATACATGTAAGGACAGCTATTTAATGTCATACTGTGGAACATTCCAGGCACACATCCATAAAAACAAACAGGTTATGGAACCCCAACCTAAAAGTTACACACCTTTGCAAGTTCACTGAGACAGGCAGTTGGAAAGCAGGCGAGAGGCACATACTGAGCAATGCACAATGATTTCAAACTAATTATGTTTAATGAATCCAAATAAAGTGGTGCCTGTGGAAGTGTATTTAGCACTCCTACCTCACAGCGGGTCGGACTGAAAGATTGAAAATGTGCCTGTAGCCTGGTCATAATTAGCAATGCTCTTGTGGGTGTATTTTAAGAAGGCTGAAATTAACTCATCTTGGTCTACTTATTGGTGCCTGCTGTTCGGAAAAGCTACTAATGATGTCATTCAAATCAGTACATAACTAATACCAAGCGATATGCTATTGTATAAAGGTAATTTTCTTAGTATTCTTGGGATTACATGAGTAGTGTTACAAATTCACAATGAAGACTATAGTGGCCCTCCATAGTTAAACAGCAAACTGAACAAAATATGGGTAAAGCTAATTATAGTATAGTTAAGTAATCTCGAATCATATTTTAATACTCATGATCAATATCTGGACTGCACAGACTTTCTGTCTAGAAACCTTCAGTCTCTATATTCAGTCATTATTTGGTTAAAATGTAAAAGTGTACAACAGAAATAATTGTTTGACTAGTCAACTTATAAAAATATTAAATAAAATAAACCTCTTAATTAGTTGACTTCGAAAATAACTGTTATTTGCAGCCCTACACTTTCTCCTTATTTTGATCAACTGATATAATAAGTGGCATTTTCTCCATAAACTGTATTAAATGAACTGACTGAAAAATGGATGACCTGTGCCACCAGTGTCTCAGTATAAACCTGTGAGAGAAACTGCAGGAGAACTTTTTAGACCAACAGTGAAATCGAAGTGGCACCAAAGTTTGCCGTGCTGATAAAATGAGAAATAAATCAGAGTTTGTTTTCTAATCTGAGTTGACTTAACCAGTGGAGAAAAAATGAAATGGCTGTTCTTTTCAATGACTCGCCCTTTACAATTGTAACCACTTTTTGCAGCCTGTTGATTTTTCGATTTCCTCGGCGGTTTCACAAATTACACTCCTCTCTTTACTGATATAACCTCCTGTTGTCTGTCTGGCCTCTTTTTCTCTTTTTTCTCCCCTTTTCCATTTCCTGTGTGTGGAATATGCGACAAAGCACATTTATTTCACAGGGCTTTTGGAGCTATAATCTCATCCATCTCCATGACAAGCTTCATTATGAGGGGAGCAAGTGATGCGCAGCACTTCTCATTAGCAACTGGGACAGGGCCTGGCCAGACTGTGACCTGTGACACACACACAGCCCCGAGTGTACAATAGGGCTTCACAGCAGTTATTGACAAAAATGTCCCATATTTCCACAGTGTAATTGGACAGCATGTGTTCTTTCTGGTGGCTGCCCCTCGGAGGGCTCAGTGCTAGTAACACATGGAGTGCGAACTGTTTGGTGGTGAGAGAGCTGAAAGAGACTGACCCCGAGTAGCACCGGCCTGGTATTTATCTCATTGTGGGGACTAAAATATGTGTACACACTCAATCCACAAGGACCTGCCTCCATTATGAGGACAAAACCCAGGTCTCCATCAGGTAAATATTTTATTATTCAATCAACAATATGCAATAAAGTTATGTAACTTTTCTTAATTCTAGAGAGTCTACCACCTGCTTGTTGCCCTGGATATGTTATTGCTTTGTCTGGAATGTTCCACAGTATGACAATAAACTTAGCTATCTTGCTTTTCTTTATTCAATTACTGGTGTATGTTATTGCCCCCTGTGAGAGGGCTCGCTTTTTTCCCAGATCCGACCTGTAAGTTAGCCTTGGGGCATGAAAATCGATAACTCTAATGCAATACTGTGGGACATTTGATGAAAAGCAAAAAAACATCAACATGGACACAAACATTTGATGGGTGGATCCAACAAACAATGTGTCATGGTAGGATTTTAGGTTGAGCCAGTAGTAACACACACAAAATTGACTCTTGTGAGCTTTTAGTCATGTTATAAAGTTACCTCAAAAACATATCTGCAATTGTTTTGTTTGAGTAAATCTTTATTACTAGTTTGTTTACCTCTCAAAAGCCCAAAATGCTCTGTTCCACCTTGTAATGTCACGCAGTGTTAGTTTTCAAGTTAACAGCTACCTTATACCTGTTGTTCAGTAGAAATGGGCAATTCCAAGGCCCAAGGCTGCAATCATCCAAATGATTCCAGTGAAGGTTTATGTTTTAAACATAGCCTAAATATAAATGTGTGTGTTAAACATGGGTAAATAAAACATAACACAACTCCAGATATCTTTCTGATGGGGAAATAACATTATAACACAGATCAGAAAATAGGGAAAGAAAAAAATAGGAAACAAAGTAAGTCAATGTGTCTCCAATGTGTCCCCAAGAAGCATGGAAACCCAACATGTGTGTATGTGTGTGTGTTAGTGTTAGCAGGAACTAATTGTGCACTCACCGCTCTGCTCCCTCTGTACCCCTGCTGCTAACAGGTCCGGCTCTCCCAGGCTGATGTCGTTCAGTCTACTGCCCAGGCACTCCACACACAGAAGCTTGCACCACTCCTCAGCGTCCAGCTCTGTACACAAACACAAGCATATTCACACACTTAAAGGCACTGTCAACATTTTACAAGCCTTTAAACCAGGCTAATGTGGCGTATGAGCTGCCCATAATGTGTCACAATAAAAAGCCCCATGCGCTGGACATGAGCTAACAGTAACTGCAGGGAGAGAATCAATGCCATCGATTTGGTGCAGATACAAGCGGCAGCAAGGTTAGTACCACAGACCACAGGACTCTAGGTGGTCTGTGCTTTTCCTGGTAAACCAAACAAAACCAATACAATCAACCATGATATTCTAGTAATATACAGACATCATGGAAATTGGAATATGGGTTAACGAATCTGTGTCTGTATCTGCCTCATAGAGAAGAAGCTGACCATAGACGACTGGGGTTTCAATGAATCACTGATACAGAACACTTAACAAGTCAATTTGGCACTTAGGACTGTCTATTTCTAACTCATTAAAGGTGGACTGTGTAACTTTTCTGGTGGAGGGTATGCCACATGCACCTCCTTGTCTCCATGGTGATGTTTTTGCTTTGCCAGGAGTTTTCCACACAATGGCATCAAACTTGTTTATCACCATTGAAGCAAGCACTGATGTCATTAGATATTAGAAATTACAGGTCAAACCCGTGGAAAGACCGCTCACTCGAACCATTTATTTAATGCAATAACAGTAATAACTGGCCTGATTCATCAGTCGGTTTCACCTCATAGAAACCGTCTGACCTTAGGATTAGGATTTGTTTGCTCGATGGTAGACAGGTACTTTTTTTATTTAACCAATCACTGCTATTTGGTCATGACGTATGTAATACGGCGGAAAGCTCAGTGGTGTCCAAGTAATTGGCGGCACAACAGCAAACAAAGCAGAGAGTGAACATGTCTGTCAACGACCATTGTTGTTTCTGTGAGATGAATTTGCAAATTAAAGGTAATTGGCCGGTGCACGGTCTAAAACTTCCAGGGGTCTTGCAAACCATCTAGTGTATTCTGATTCCTGACCTAGTCGCTGGAGAGAAATGAAATGGAGCAGAAGCACTAGGTGGCGCCAGCCTGGCTAAATAATAACATCTCTATGGAGACAAGCAGGTGACAGGTTCCCCTATAACAGAAAAGTTGCATAGCCCACTTATAAGTCTAAAAACATGTCTTGTTTGTAATAGTGTATATCCAGCTACTTGCAGAGATTAGAAATAATATGTTGGGTTTTTTTTTTTTGTATTATGAGCATTATTACTTCAATATCTGTTTTCACAATAACAATGTTACTGCTTAGATTACATAAAACCAAAAGGAAAATCTCTTATTTGTGACCACAGTGAACCCAACTGACCACTCGCCACCATTTAACACAATGTACAATTCTGTCCATCAAATAAATGGTCCACACAGTATATTGACCAATTTAAGTTTGCAGTTGTTGTTGTTGTAGTTTGAAAGTTGTGTTGTTTTTGTTAAGTCAGTGTTTACAATGAATCATATTTTCAGTTGTCTTCTGTAAGCTCCTGCTAAAACTTACTGAAGTATGAAATGAGACGAGCTCCGGAGTTGTTTATCTCCACCAAGCTTGTTCACACCAAACTCTGTGGAATAACCGCCATAGCGCTATAGCTAGTCATGTATGCAACATCAAAAAGACAGCAGCAATTCTCTTTATATTAAGCAACTGTCATCGCACTCCCAGTTTTGATATGCAGAGATGGATTTTCACTTTTTTGTAATAGACAGCTTGTTTGTCAAATCAACAGAGCTGTCCAATGGGAGAACTGCTTACAACTTTGAGAGGTTAGGGAAAGGTCTGTAGCAGCCTGAAGCAACTGAGCACAACACAAGGAAATATGGAGGATGTGCGTACAGACTTAGAGGCTATAGAACCCTCTTTGCACTTTAAGATACCAGTGCAGGGCTCCCAGGATTCAGATTCGACTTATTCAGAGTTACTTTAGCCTTTAAGTGGCTCTAAACTCCCACACCTTTAAGGCCAGCGAGTGGAGAATTCGCTATACAAACAAACATATGGCAGCGGATATAGGCAGACTGAGGAAATATGGTGGGAGGAGGCTGTTTCGGAGAGCGTAGGTGGACCATGGAACAGGATGCGAGGAATGGGGAGTTGGAGTGACAGAAAATGTGACAATTGAACAGGAGACGGGCTTGAGGTTGGTCTCCGTGGTTACACAACACCAAAATAGGATCCCTGACACATTTTTATTGGTTCACATTCGTTCGATGCGCTCTTTGATACGCTCAGATTGAGTCATAGCATCTGCTCATCACTATGTGGGCACAACAATACACTAATAATAAAGTAAACACGACGCCTGACAAGGTTTTAAAACAGCTGCTAAATCAAAATAGCAGTCATAGTTTTTGCATGAAACACGTTTCACATACCATGCTATTTTAATGACTTTGTATATATAGACAAATAGATACAACATTACATTTAACTTCGAATTGACTTGTTCTGTGGTCAATAGGTGAGGGGGTACACAGTGATACAACACAACTGCTGATTTTCCTAGAGTCTGTTTTAATGCCTCTTAAATAGTTTAGGGAGGTTTGTCTTTGCCATTTAAGCTTTATTTTCTCTAGTGGAAGCTTGCCAAATTTCTATCTGATGCAGATACGATTTCTTGTAACCTAACCCAAACCCAAATCGAATTCTAGCCCTGGAAAACAACTTGACTTTACTTGCCTCTGCAGCAGCAAGGCTTTCTCATGATGGCTTGGTAAAAAGTGCTTTGAAATCACTCCATCGTGCACATGTTATAAAGAGCTGTGTATATATGGTTGTATAGGAGCTAAGTGTGAATTCCCACTAGAGGAGCTGTGAATGACTGGTGAAAATGATGGGGTTGCAGGATATAAAGGACTCTGGGAGGTCAGTGTATCCATATGGTACTGTTGGCAAAAAAATCTATATTCAAGAAGCTGCTATTTATGGTACTGCACCTGTATCAGAATATACTCTTTCTCAATACGCATTATTAGTCTCACATTTCACACATTAGAAGCAATCTATTTTGTTACACAACATAATTGGGTTGAAACACACTGTAAATAATGCCCAATATTGTTTTTCATACCTGCAGTTTAGAAATCGATATTCAGGAACAGCGCCTCCTATTTCTTAACGCAGCGGCAAATGAGCACGACTTGGCTAAACTCCAGTTCTTCTAAGTTTTCTGCTTGTCTTCTGTGCTCTGACCTTTCACTTCTTACAAAATACTTACCAAACTTTTCAGATACACCCCTCCGCTCCCCGCCTCGTAACTCCTGCATACAGAATAAGAGGTACACAGCAAACATCTCTATCTAAAAAGCACATAGTTACCTGATTCACAAGCGAAAGTCTTGGAGGTGTCGTCACAGAAGATAATGGCGACAGCGTGCTTCTTTGTCTCTCGGGGCATGCGGGTGATGTTTTTGATGTTGTGGAGCTCGGTGATCTGTGAAGGCAGAGACAGCAGCATTAGAGGGAGAGAGCAGGGATCAGCACTGGGTGAACTGCACTGGGTATACAAGTGTAAGCAAAGACAGGCTAGACTCATTTAAATACGACTTGTGTAGGAGAATATAGGCACTGTGTGGAAACCGTGTTCTATCTAGTGATAAAAGCAGACTTGACACTCTTCTTCTTATGTGTAATATCTTTTGTCATTGAAGTTTATGACATTACACTACTTTTATTAATCTTCAACCACAATATTTACTGGCACATGTTAGCATTTCTGATAGATTCCCATTAGGGATGCACCAATCAGATACTGGTATCGGGTATCAGTGCCAATACTGAAAAATTAGCTGGATTAAATATCGGTTTCCAAAAATCGCTTCAGCCATTATCCTAACTGGACATATAAATTGATATAAAAAAGATTATTTACTGGTCGTGCTCGGTCCAGAAAGTCTCACAATGTTAACTTTTATTTATACAAAGCTGTTCAGTAGTTACTTGAGATAAATAAGAGTTATGTAACACTTTTGGCTCAGTTTTGTCTTATTTTATTTTTGTTTAAAGAAAATAAATGCTGATTTCAGTCTCTGAACTGGTATTGGTTGATAGTGTGTATCAGCAGACATTAAAAGCTAAAGTACTGAGATATTGGAATTGAAAATTGGTGCATCCATAATTGTCATAAGGTTATACGAATATCAACATTAGGATGAAATTATTGTCAATGATGTCCACCCCTATGACTTGTTGAAAATGATTTTAATATTTTACTTAATTTATTCCATATACCTGTTGCTAGAAACCTTTAACATTCCCCTTTATTATCTGAGATCTCCATTACAGTCACACTAAACCTCAAAGATCACATTTATGTTATTGAGCATCAGCACTCTATGTACAGATGAAATTGTTTTCTTGTCCGAGCCAAGTTAAAATTGTCGACCTTATGAAGATCATTCTCATACTCAGCATCCTTTTAGTACAAATGTTCCTATTATTTGTCATGTATATTGTCATCTCACATACCTAACTGAAGTGTACATTAGCATTAGCCTTATTTAGCCTGTAGTGCCTCTGTATTTATTTTAAAAGCATTCAGTGGACAATGGGGGCTGATGATTATAAACCTTGTGCATGCGCTGAGTGGCTCTCCTTGAGACAGCTCCTTTAGTCAATCTGGAGCAAACCAATCTAAAGCATCTCAATCACTTATGCAGAGAATTGATCGGCAATATAAAAAAGAAAAGATTACATTTAATTGAATATCACCCGCATTTACAGGCCATTTTGTTCAACAGTCTTCTGTGTGTTCCCTCCACCCGGGAGATAAGCCCCATTACATTATTGTAGTCTATTGTGTGCTAACCATGGGACCACTGCCAGACTGTTGGGAATGAATTAAGCGGGCACGCTGCCTGCACAGTACAGCTCCAGTGTGAGAGGTTAAAGGAGAAACCTCATAAACATACACAACATGAGGGGCAGCCATTCCTCTCTCTGATAGCATGACATGTAATCAATGATACTTATACTTGCAGATCACTCCCCTGCATTGTGTTTATTTAGCTGAAAAAAATAAAATAAAAATACATGAATAAACTATCCACATACAAAAATATTGCTTTTAAGAGCTTTACACCAACACTAAGAACATGTGGGAGAAGGTCTATACTTCAACAATACAACATAAATTTGCATAACATTTTGTCAACTAAAACTAAAAATATCTAACTGCATGATAGAGGAATTGCATTTCTGTGCTGTGCCAGCCCAACACTGCCAGTTCATTCCTTGTTATCTTGGTCTACGTCATCAGAGGTATAATACTCCCTACAGTGCTAGAGTAGACTGCACTAGAATGAACAACACTATCACAATGTTTTGGGAGCTCATGTTTCTAAATGCCGGGTCCTCTACTGAGGGTAAATAAACTCTAGTGTCATGTCTCTACTTTCTCTTGGACTTTATTTCAATTTAGTCTACAGCACTGATAAATCTTGACTACGGCTGAAATGCATTTTTTTTTTTTTTTTCAAAAAAAATAAAATAAAAAGATATATATATAATTTTTAAAAAGTGTTAAGTGCATATCACGAAAATTTACAGAAGACTCCCTGCTACATAGTAAAATAAATAATCTACGACACCCGTGGATCATCATGTTATAATTTGCACATTTTAAATCACAATATTCATCTAAAACAACTTAATAAAAGAAACAAGTCTGCTGACTTCCCTGTAAAAAAAAAAGTGGTGCTCAATGGGAGCTGACAATGCTGTAAACGTCATCACAACAAAGAGATGACATCTCTTTTGAATAGCTGCAGATCACACAAGCAAGCTGCAGATTTTATTTTTTTTCTTGTTTGTTAATTTGTACCAAAATAATATCACCAACTGAGAAAATAAAATTGGAGAACAAAGTAACTACAGAGCAGTGGGCGTATGTCGGTGGCGGTGAAAACAAGGATTGATCAGTAGTACAGCATCTTGAAAATGAGCGATTAAAGATTTCTCGAACGAGCACAAATCACTCCAAATACAACTGTGGGTGAGTAAAAGATGAGGGGAAAAAATATAACATGGTTAAAGGTTTGAAAAGTAAAATTCGCAGAATATGTTTGTTTTAACAGAAGAAGGGTGTGCAAAAGATAAGAGTTCATTTTCAAAGAGGGTGTGATTTAAGTTTACATCTGTCCTCAGGCCAAAACATCACACATTTAACTGACATGAGACTTTGTAGCGTCTGGTTTGGTTCTTCCTTTTAGCTCTGCTTGCGTGGCTCAACCCTCCTCTGGTGCCTGAGGCAAGAGCCCATGCAAAGTGAGTCATTTCTAAAGAGCCAGATTCCTCATTGCGTTCTCTTTAATCTGTTTTCGCCGTCAGATAATCTCATATAAAAGAGTTACTTCTCTTTGCTGCGTGTCTTATTTACACCCTCTATATGCACATATATTAGACTATAGCTCCACTCCACTTTAACTGTCAGCAAGAAGGCAATGTAGTGCGCACAAAAACAAGTTCTCAGAGGCTAAAAATATTCAGAGCGTGCGTGGACCAGTGCTTCTCAGACACACAAACATGGAAAATAACAGAAATGGAATAAACGTGACGAGTTGAAACTAAAAATAGGGGCCAAATCAGCCACCGGTGCAGCCTGGAAAGCAGTGCTGCGTTGAATGTAGCCCTTAGTTGGGACCTTTTCTTGATCTTTGGGGCGATGCATTATCAGGTGCAGTGGTGCATGTGCGCGCTCATCGCTCACTCTCCACAGAACGGGTGTACAAGGTGCCCCCGGGGACCAGAGCCACCGCACAGGACGCCCCGTGTGACAGCATGATGTAGTAACCACGGAGACGCTTTATGGCAAACACACAGCTGCTACTGTACCAGCTAACCAGTGGACTCAGGATACAGAGACGCTCGTATGAACAAGTACATAGTATATACTGTACACAGAAATGAGAATGAAGATAATTGGACAAATAATTATATATAAAAAAAATAATACAGCCACAAGCAGCAATCATTGGTCCTCACTCGCGCCTACTCCATGCCCAGCCCACACCGCACCCCATGAGCATCTGGTTAACAAATGTAGTTTGGCTATGCCAAAGTTTTTGTCAGGACGTCCCATTGGCAAGGACAGATTTTTGGTTTGTTGCTATGGCAACACAATGTGAGATGGGGTGTGGCCAGCATTAAACTTTTGATCTAGAGCATGTCTCAAATATGTGTACCAAACTTTGCATGTCTACGACAATTAACATTTTATTGTTCCATACAAATTGCCTAGTGAGGTACTGTTGCACCATTTTAAAAATGTTCTTATGTAAATCTGTTCAAGGTTGGGGTGTTCACCCATGATTAAAGTTTGAGTTAAATCATCCAAAGATTCTGCAATTTGATGATTTTGAAAAATAATTTAGTTTTCTCCCTGAATTTAGTCTTAATCTGTAGGGAGCGCTAATGCAAGTTAGAGTTTCAATAGTTAGCAAAGTTTCGTGTGTTTTTGCCATTGTTCACAGGGTGAAAAATGGGTGGGTTGGTTATGAAAAAAAAAAATGAAAAAAAAGTACATTCTGTTTACTGTATACTGTAATAATATTCTGATACAAGAATAATGTTCCACTTTTTTTAGCTAGCTCTAAAGATAGTCAAGTACTACGCTACATTACAATTTAGATCTGTGGAGAATCGTCCCATATTCACGGAAGGAATTAATATATTTTTGAGCAAATCAAACACCCATAATGAATAAATGCAAGATGGATATGTTTTATGTCATACCAGAAGATTCCAGGCTAAGCAATAACATCTCCATAGAGACAAGCAGGTGCTAAAAGTGAATTAGACTTTTTAATAATTTGATTTGTGGAATATGTTATAAGGAAAAATACCTTACCATAAATATACTGCAGATGCACAACATGTTTTGCAATAACCTTTGTTTCTTGTGGATCAAATATTGTGTTTTCAGGAAATGAGAAGAAGTCAGATTTGTCTATATAATGCAAGCCCTGTATGGAAATGCTGTATTTGAGAATCACAGCTTTCATGTGTGTAACGTGTAGACACTTTATTACAGAGCACTAAGTCAGCACTCAGTGCAAAAAGCCTCATTGTTATCTGCTGTTAGGTCGCTTCTACTCCTTTAACACCAGCTCCTCTCGCTGTAATGAGCCATAATTGGAGAATTTCAAAGCGTTCGGAGGTGGAGAGAGATATCATATGCGGGATTATTGCCTCCTAAAGGAAAGGGAAAAGGGCCTCTGAGGACTAGATAAAGTTACCGAATGTGCCTTAATGGACTTTTAACTCCATCATCGGAGAATAGCAGTCAGCCGATCTGATATAAAGACAGAGAAAGCTATTGTTAGACATGTGCACAGCTTATTGCTATTATAACTTTTTTATAACACTATATTTGAATTCTATTTCCCTGAAGTGTGTTCTTGAGTAGAGGGTGTATTAGTTCAAATACTATCAGTTTTCAAGTTTCATGATTGCTGTTTTGAAACTGAATATTTACTGTTTGACTTTTGCCTAGACCTGTGCCACTATGGCTCTTGGGTCATTTCTGCATACTAAACAGAAAGTTGTTTGGGCATCATGATCTTTTGAGTGGGTGATCATGACATGAGTGGGAGTGTTGTTTTGGGGGGGCACACAATAGCGTATTATGATCTCATTAGGCTCAAGAATATTCTACTCAGAATATTTTGTTGGCATCTGTTGTCTTTGGATTGTAACCAAATACAGCCTACATACTTGATTAGCCATAGATTGTTGTTGTCATTCATAGAAACTTGCAAATAAATTATGTCAAGCCAATTTGTTAACTTACATTGTCCAAATGTTTTTGTGAAAAGTAAAAAATGCTCTAGCTGAGGAGCAAATATAGCAAAATCCTACTCAACATAAACACCTGTGACCCACAGGTTGGCAGTGCAATTCCAGCTCCCACAGATGAATTCTGAAGACACTTAAACTCTCAGTGTCTGCAGACACTGGTGTGTAAGTGTGTGTGTGAATGGGTGAGTGGTTCCTTGATGTAAAGTGCTTTGAGTGCATTGAAGGTGGAAAAGTGCTATATAAAAATTTGACCATTTATCACAATACGACTTTGTGATTTGTAGCGCAATGTAAAAGGTGACTATGTAACCTTTCTGGCACATGGGGATTGATGGTTTTAGATACATTCTGTAATATAATTGCAAGTTTAGAAAATCTACCATACAAAGGTACTGCATCTATTTTCTAGTGAACCATCTTATATTGAATATCTGTCAAGTTAGAACAAAACAGTACATTGCTAGAATCATCTACAACATAAATCCACACAGTGCATAGTGAGAGTGAGGTGAAGTTACCTTATGAAAGCTCCTGAAGTAGGCTGCCTTCTCGTCTGGGTATTTCTCTAACCGCCGCGGCCCTTTGCTCGACGCCTTCTTGAACACAAGCCAACACCTCCGGAAGATCTGACAACACAAAACCAACAAGAGTTAAATATACAGCTTCCTCCAGTGAAACGAATACATTAGAGCACTGAGGAGTTTATAGTGCTTCAACATTAATTTGAGGATCTGGAACTTAGGACACTCTTTGTCTGGTCTGGTTTAAATCCTGGTGTAGTCCTGGTTTTGACCGAGTTTAGTCGTAGCTTTGACTGGGTTCTGCTGTATTTCAGTCCTATTTTAAACCTGAGTTACGCTATGCCAAGTTTAGTCATAGTTGTAAAAAGTTCCTCCAGTACTTCTTTAAATCTTCACTTAGTTCACCGCTATGCTTTTTTATCATCATCTTATACTGTTCAGATTTATGCCTGATGAAAATGTGGTACCATCTTGCCAAATACTTGATAAGTGATACTATTTGAGTAACCTTAAAACAGCTGAAGAGGTATCAAATTCACAAGAGGAATGCATGCTGACTTGAAGCTTAAATTAGTTTGTTCGGGAACTTTATAAAAACTTAAATGACGTTCCAGTTGCACCAAGACGACACTGAGCGATGAGTCAATTTTGTGAAAGATGTTAATAATACTCCCATATCTGATGCTGATTGCAATAACGATATCCTCTGAGTCATATACTGTATATTTATAGTGCTGTGAAGTGGATATATACAGCAGAAAAGTGGAAGTGAAAAACACGAACAGCCCTCTGCAATGCCCCTGCCATGATGTGATCCTCCCCATTGAGCTAAGGTCAATATCAGGGCTAAGGTAACAGGAAAGAGTCTACAATGGAGTGAATTAATGTTTTTATGAATAGAAAGTACATGCTGCTGTGGTAGTAAGATAGAGAACGTTGTGGACATATCGCATATCAGTAAAATGTTTTCTACGTGGAGAAACAACGCTGGATATTTGGGAGTTTGTTAACACAGTGGCAGAGTAACCCTTCCTCAAAAGTAATTAGTTTTTTTATTAAGTATTCAAACTTCCTCTTAATGTCCATAAATTGCCCATGTGAATGAAGAGAGAACAGTATGAAAAGACATAATGCCTTTCTTAAGTGAAAATGAGTTGTCCTTTTTAACAGTGCAGTTTTTTGTGCATGTTTTGATGACACAAGGACCAAACATATGAGCAGTTATGCCAATGCAATCTCTATTACATGGCTATTAATGTCTCCCCCCACCAGAAATTACAGAGTACACCTTTAAATCAAAGGTAAAACTGAGTAGTCTCACTTTGGTTTATTTTAGAGTAGGATGGAAGGGAGGGCACCACAATAAACCATCATAAAATGTGTTTAATAACGGAATACTGAATACATAGACAAGACAAGTAATAGACATTGAATCAGAGTATTCTAACAAAACACTATGTTTCTTGCATAGTTTGTTATGCTTGGATTAATTATCACTAGTTAGAGAAGGAAAATCGCTCATGCACTCACCACAAGGGCAGTGTTTTCTATTTTTGTCACTAATACTGCGCAGTTTGAAGCCTACATTCTATGATCAGAAGTACTGCAATGAAATCCTTTACTCTTATGAAAGTAATTGTTTCTGAATACCACTAAATAAAAGAGTAATTACCAGAATACAGTTACTCTAAAGTATTCTGGATATTTTCTGTATATATTTAGTTACTTCACAACACCAAAATGAATGAATCTGTTCCTGAATGAAATGAATCTAGCTATTGATCTGTAATACAACTAAGACACACCATCAATCATTATACAAGTATTGGTAAAGCAGATATTTTAACTACATTTTAACTTTGGTGTTTTAATTTGAATACTGTTACTATGGATTAGCTGGTGTTTGATAGTTTGAAGGCACATTCTTGACATGCACAATGCGTCAAAGAGTTTGACAAAAGCATATGCATTAAGTAGGGTCGTACAAATCTCTGCTGAATGACTATTTGCTTTTCAAATGGGCCCATTATTGTCTGTGATTCCCTGATTTATGCAGAGGAAGATGAGTCACCTTAAATATAGGCCCGGACCACACAATCCACTGAATGAAAGATTGGCATTCAACAGGAAGGAAACAGGTGAGTAAATTATTCAGTTCTTTAAAAATTGATTCATTCTTTATTTATTTATTATTTAATATGTATTCCTTTTCATTTGGGATCATTAGGTTTAGCCAGCCATTTATTTATCCAAATGCTTTATTCATAAGGTTTTATACAGCTTTATGGGCATTTGGGGTGGCACTGATAGAAATATAGGATTACAACCATAGACTTTAGATATAAATGGACATTACTAACCCAATAGTCACCGTGTTCCAAACAGAAGGTGTATAGGGATGGTTTCAGCTCGATCGGCTCCAATTGACTTTGACTGAAAAATGTCACCTCGTTCCAAATTCACTCCTTTAAGCCTCATGAGCTTCATTTGCCTGGAGTCGAATGCTATGGGTGGCGTCACACTCCCTTAGTCCACTTCTTTACAGTGTATGATTGTAGTACACAGTAGTATACAGTATTTATTTATTTTTTTTGCTTAGTCAACTTAACAATATTTCTTTTGTGTAACTGTTACACCCTTACCTCTCAATTAAAGGTGCATTGTGTAACTTCTGGTGGAGGGTTCGTCAAATGCTTTTATTCATGGAGATGCTATTGCTTTGTCTGGAATGTTTCACAGTATGGCATTAAACCTTTCTATTTTCATGGAGACCAAACCAGAACAAGTTGCAGGTCAGATCTGTGAAGAGGCAATCCCACTCACAGTCAGAATGTGTGTTTTTCCCTTGGTATTTCTGAGCTATAAAACCACCTGTAATTGAATAAATGTAAGAAGAGCTGTTTAATGTCACACTGTGGAACATTCCAGACAGAGCAATGACATATCCATAGAAACCTGCAGGTGACAGACCCTCCACCAGCAAAGTTACACAGTGGACTTTTATGCTAACACAAAATACTCCACTCATTGAAGATTATTCTCAGCATCAGCCATAAAACATCTGTGAAGAGGACACAGAGGAGAAATCGGTTGGCATTACTTTCCTGTAAAAAGTTGTATATGCAGCGCTAAGACAATAAAAAGAAGCAAAATGCTTCTTTGGCACGAACAAGAGAGAAAGATGTGAATCTCTTTTGATGGCTATAACCACATTTGCAGTTAAATTAAAGCCAGGATCTATTCCCTGTTGGGAGCACAACTCAAAGCAGCAGCAGTGTAGTGCAGCCATAGTAGTGCTAAGATTAAGTAATTATGGTAGCACAAAGGAGGGTGCAGAGATATAGCTGGTGCATAATAAGAACTAGAGGGTCTGAATGGAGAGGACTTCATTTTGCCTGTTTCACAGTTGTCAGAGCTATTCTCAGGCCACTGCGGCTCTTCTTCACACACCCTCGTACATGATTGTAATTATGTGATGTGATGGAGGCTGTGGGCTCGACTAATGCCAGCAGAGAGAGTGGGACTGGCAAAGCTGCAAAAGAAGAAAATTAAAAAGTGCTTCCTGTCCAAACAAACTATTCATTTTGATGCAGGTCTCAGCTTAACTTTTGTGTTGACTGCAGAGTGAGTTAATGTAACTTCATAAGGCGAGGCAGAATAAAAGTAATTGGATTCAAATTATTTGTTCCATGATTAAAGGTGCTCTATGTAACTTTTCTGGTGAAGGATCTGCCACTTGCTCGTCTCCATGGAGATGTTATTGAATTGCCTGGAATGTTCCCAGTCTGACATTAAACTTTAAAATATCTCTCTCAATGGAGTCAAGTTACAGGTTAGATCTGTGGATAGGCAAACTCTCACACAGTTATAAATTAATAAATGCAAAGTGTATTTTTAATGCCATACTATGATACATTCCAGGCAAAGCAATAACATTGAGAATATTTTCGCCAATTAGAGCAATATATTGAAAGAAAAGTGATTATGATTTTAATGACAGTCATTTCCTCTTTGGTCTACCTCAAATGTGTGAAATGCTGCCTCAACTTTCCATATTTCAACCTATATAGCAAAACAATAACTTAAAATACTGAATTCAAGAAGGATTGTTCAAACAAAAGAAAAGAGCCCATTTGCGGAGGCCTCATTCTCATGGCGGCTGAATGAAAAGCAGATCAGAGTAAGTCTTTAGTGCTTAGCCTGAGCAGCTCCCTCACTGGAATCCCCTTGAACAATATGAACTCCTGCTCCTCTATTGTAGTAATTGGACGGCCTTATCTTAAAGGCAGCCTAATGAAGGGAGGTCACATAATTAACAGCCAGTGATAAGCCATGCACCCTAATTCAATATGCGTCTGCACTCCACTATCTCAGCTACAACAAGTTTTAGCTGCGCAAAGACAAATGGACTTGTGTGGTCCACTGGTCAAGATTAATGGGCTCAAGGTCAGGTAGCAGTACTGAGAAACCTTTCATTTGAATCTTATGTTTTATTATGTGTTCATTACCTGGTCTAGTGTAGGATCATGGACAAAAATTTCAAAAGGCTATTAGGAAAAGGCTTAATACTTGACACTCAATCCCACAATGATCATTAAAAACATTTTTATACATATACATTATAATTTTCAACACCAAATATTAAAAGTCTCTTTGGTGTGTGGTCCAAACTTGATCCAAACTTAAATGTGATTTTTATACAGTACTGACACTTGTTTAAAAGGTCATCTAGTTTCAATACTAGTTTTAGTATTGATAATGTAGTAGGTGTGGGACAATACACGAGATTGGGTCCATTAGCACAACAAATGAGACAAGACAAGGTTTTTTACATAATTTCTAATATGCAAATAGTGTGATTTAGTTATCAAAGTTGGCTTCAGAATTTGTATTTACTTAATTTAACATTTTTGTTGTGATTTTGGGAACTACGGCTTCTCAAACGATACAACTCCCCAACTCACCGGCATTTAACCCTTTTTTTGCCCAACCCAAACAGGGGGAAAAAATGATAATAATATCACATATTATTTTTCTCATGTGTGCACAATCTTGTGGAAATTTTCTCTTGAGAGATCTTATGGCATGAGATCTTGTCAGATTAG